TTTTTTTGAGCATATAAGCAAGCTATTTTCTGTCACTATGAATCAGTATTATTGTTTTGTTTAATGGAGTGTATGTAAATACATGTGTTAATTGCTATTGACCTATCTCTCATATTTTTCTCATAATTTTGAGTGTAGTTATTATAGATGCAGAAAACCCTTTTCTACTAGTTACAAATCTTTCATCCCAGGGTTGGTCTCCATTAGTTGTCCTTGTTCTATGGTATGGATCACATTTTCCTGTTTCTTTATATATTCAGTAAATTTGATTGTATCCTAGATAGTATGAATAATATATTATGTAGACTCTGAATTCTGCTATGTTCCACCAAAGGGTGGAACTTATCTTTTGTTTCTTGGCTTAACTCAAACCCCAATCTCTGCAATCTTAATTCAGTTCGTTTTGCAACAGCTGGACTGTATGAAGCAGACCTCACATACCAGCAGTTCAGGAGTCACCAGAGAGTTAAGCAGAGTTTATAAACAAGACAGGGAGCTCCTTCTTCATGGTTCTTTTCTCTGGCTTGAATGTGTGCTTGGGACCAAGCCCAGAGTGGTGCTTCTCCATGAATTTGAACACATGTATCTAGTCATAAATCAGATATTTTGATCTCTATTTTCTATGATTTCATAGGTGAATACTCTATTTGTCAGAGTATTTAAAGGACATAAATGTGATTGTTCATGATTCAGATATCAAACCCCATTCTAAAACTCTGGTAAAACTAATAGAAACAACAAATATTTAGGTAGCATTTAAAACATACCAAGATTTTGTTCTAGAACTTTATTTATTTTAACTTATTCAACCTTCACCAAAACATATGAAGTTTACAGATGAAGAAACCGAGTCATGGAAGGCTGAAGATGACATTGCCAGTGAGTGTTGGAGCAAGGACTTCAGAGTGCATGCTCTTAACCACCATTTTCTGAACTAATATGTAGTAAACTACAATTTCATGGGAGTTGTACAGTTTGAGACTATTTTTGGATCATGTCTAAGGGTGTTTACTTCATAGTTTAGCTTATGATTTTATCTAAGTCTCATAACAGAGTTCTAGGGAAATGATAATATGAGGAACTTTAGAGTAAGCCTTTGGGTCACATTCACATTTGGCTTACATATATATAATAGTGGATTCTTTTTTAATCCTGAACTTATTAATATGATATGGAATCCATGGATAATGTTTTCAAAT